TATAGCATGGCCAAATTTGTCTGTACGCATATTTTGGCATCTTTGTATAGCCTCACTCAGCACATTTTTTTTTTTTTTAATTCTTTGATTTTAACTTGTGATAAAATCTAAAACTTAAGAGGTTAAGTTTGTTACAACAATGGTTTATAGATTTCAGCCTATATGCAGCCATTGAGTACTACAGTCATATAGAGGCTATTGCTATTTTTTGATATTTGATATATATTGTTATGCCATCATATATCACCAGATGTCACCAGGTTTTTTTATTTTTTTATTTTGGCTGTCTGAACTTACTGGAATTATTATTATTATTATTATTATTGTTGTTGTTAGTGGCTATTGATATTTTTTGATATGTTGATATTTTATGCCATCATATATAACAAGATGTCACCAGTTTCTTTTTATTTTTTTAAGTTTTGGCTGTCTGAACTTACTGGAATTTGTATTATTATTATTATTATTATTATTATTATTATTATTATTTTACTGAAGTAAAATACATATTAAATATAACATAAAATAAACATATTTTACATTAAAAATATGGTACTTTTAGAGGTAAATAAATAAAAACACTAAAAATCACACAAAAATGCATAAATTGATAGTTTTCTTTTTCTTTCTTTTTTGAATATAGTGATATTACATTTATTAAAATAAAAAAGGGACCACACCTGAGACCTTCATGCTCAAATTTGTCAACGAAGGACCAATTAAGGGCTTCTATATGCTTGAGGGTTAAAGTTTTGGAAGAGATCTCATCATCATCTCTAGCTAAAGATAAAAATCTGAGCACAGTGTGTGACGATGATGAGATCTCTTCCAAAACTTTAAAGGAGACAAATATGAGACAACCAGAGTCTTTAGTTTAGGAGACAAATCAGAGCATTATCTATTCTAAAGCTTTAAAGGAGACAAATGTGAGAGATCCAGAGTCTCTAGCTAAGGAGAAACATCAGAGCACAATGTGTGATGATGATGAGATCTCTTCCAAAACTTTAAAGGAGACCACTGTGAGAATGTTAGAGTTTATGTCTCAGGAGACAACTGTGAGAAGAGGGAGAATTTTTCTTTCCTCTGGGTAATCCACTGATGGCTCAACCCCACATGCTTTTTAGAAAGGGGCTAAGAAATAAAACCAGATTATAAATGCTGTGAGGATGAGACCAAGAGGGAGAGAGTGAATGCTCCCTTAACCAAGACTGCACTGATCTCGGATGTTGAAGCTCTGCGACTGGCAAGTGCAGCTTCCAAATCATCAGTACTCCTCTTGCTGGATCTGTCTGCTGCTTTTGACACATTTAACCAACAGAATATCCCGTCAACCCTCATGACAAAGGGAGTTAATGAATTAGTGGTTCAAGTCATACCTTTCAGGTAGGTTCTTCAGGGTGTCTTGGAGGGGTGAGGTGTCTAAACCACAACATCTAGCTATTGGGGTGCCTCAGGGCTCAGTGCTTTGAACACTTCTCGATCTACATGTCATCAACAGGATCTGTAATTCAGAAACATAACTTTTCCTATTATTACTCTAACTCTCATTCCAGCTGAAAAATCTGACGGTAACTGATCACATCTCAGCCTGCCTGACAGACATTCCTTGCTGGATAAAGGACCATCACCTTCCCTACAATGACAGAACTAGTGGTTTTGGCCAGCCCAAAACTTCACCACAACTTCCCCATTCAGCTAGGGGCATTAACCATATCTGTTTCCAGGACAGCCAGAAGGCATGTCACTTCTCTTTTCATCAATTTACATCAGTTGCCAATAGATGCTCGCAAATTCAAAATTCAAGGCACTGATGTTTGTCTACAGAATAACCACTGGCTCTGCACCCCATACCTAAACTCACTACTTCAGACATTCTGCAATTGAAAGTCGCATTGTGGTGCCAGCCTAAAGAAGCACTAAATCACTGTCACAGACCTTTACCTTGACTGTTCCTTGCTGGTGGAATGACCTGCCTAATGCAACCCAAGCAAGCAGCTGAGTCATTTGCCATTTTCAAGAATCGGCTAAAGAAAATCTTTTCATCAACACTTGACCAATTAACACTAGCACTTTCTATTCTATTTATATTTATTAGACGAAAAAATAATAAAATACTTGCTATGCATACTGTTTTGGACTAACTGGGACTTGTCAAAGCGCTTACATATTTTTGTTCCTCTGTTTTTTTAACTGCTTCTATTGTCTTCATTTATAAATCACTTTGGATACAAGTGTCTGCTACATGAGGCAGGGCGCAAATGGCCAAATTATTTTTCTGATCCTGCCTCCAGTTTGGGCCGGTTGCAGGATTAGAGTGGGAAATTGAAGGAGCCTAACTTCAGTGAGGGATTTAGTGCTCAAACGCCACTGTCTGAACTTTTGACTCCCTGAAAAGCCCAGAAGGTGAAACTGGGGCATCAAGGAGGATGTTATTTTGATGCTTCTGGATGCCCGAAAATTTTAGCCACAGATGCCACTCTGTAGTCACCATCGCTCCCAGAGAGCGGGTGACAGAACGGGCTGCCTGTTTAGCGGAAGGCAAGATCTGTGGTGTAGTGGAGTTCCTGGAGAGATTCCAGGTACATCCCCCCGCTTGTTCGAGGTCATTCAATAATTCAGCTTAATAAACCACATTCACTCATCCCCAAAATTTTAGCATAACTTGATGATGGGGGCACGAACAAACAGGCCAAGAATGGTTTATTCCTTGTTCTCATGATGTAGGTGCAGGTCATAATCTCCAATAACTTCTCATACATGGGGGCAAAGGAGGAGGTGGGCTCGCTGACAACAACCACCTCAACTCCCATCTCATCCAGCCCCACAGAGCAGGATGGGGACAACAGTATGCTCTCTGCCAGAGCGGGATAAGCTGGAGACCAGGCTTCCAGGTCTGGCATGAGAGCCTCGGAGCTGTCAAGGGAAGCTTGAGATAGGTAAGGACCATCCCAACCTGCTCAGCCAGCTCCATGACCACAGCCGCTGCACTACCTCAGTAGTAGCAGGACCCTATCCCTGGGTCATAGTCGCCAGGCCTCCATATCCCCCAGAAGAGAGATAAAGAGGGAATTTATCACAGTGAGGACAGCCAGCCTCCTCAAGGGCCAAGAGTACGTGTTCCGCTCTGAGACAAATGACACACAGTTCATGTGTGTCATCTGTTGTGACAAAGCAAGGGCATGGAGATACACATCTCTTGAACCAATTTTCACCTTCCGTTCTTTTTTTTTTAGGTTACTAGTTCTTTACTAGTTAGGGGACGCTACACTGCAAAAATGTTTTGTGCTATATACATGAAAATTACAAGACACATGATTAATTCTTCACACACAAACAAATTTCCTGAAGACAAAAAAGCTGATGAGCTGGTAGTGTCATCCATTGCAGTGGCCAAGCGAGCTTGGCATGTAGCACTCATGCTTCAGACACCAGCCCATGCTGAAGGCATTCCCATAGCATCAAAACCATGACGTACCATTGAAGTTCCATTTCAAAGGCAAACACGTTACATAGAATTGCAAATCTGCAGTAATTCAACTGTAAAATAACATTTTATTGACACAATTTTGCATATTTTTGTGGCTTATTAAGACAAAAGTGGTTTAGTTATATTCTTACCACAAAGTGTTACTAAGTGTTATTATTATTATTATTATTATTATTATTATTACTACTACCATAATAACTAATACAAATAAAGTTTTATTGATAATATTAACAAATTGCTGGAATTAACATTAAAGCTACAGTTAAGCAGAGTTTTCAGGAATGTCTCTATTTATTTATTTAGCAAATGACTATTCTATATGCTTATTCATGAATATGCCCAGTTGCCTAATATGCATGACATAAGTTTCATCATCTGTAGGGTCGAAGAGGTCTAAAGATATATGCGGTGTACTTGATCTTGAGTTTGGAATGAGGTCAACTCCATGCTGTCCTCTACAGGTCAGGTAGATTATTACAAAGCAGTTATAGTGGGCATGTGTCGAACATGTCTGTTTGAGTTCATAATATGTGTAGTATACTTCAAATGGCTAGATACATGCATAACAGCAGGCAGAAAAAAATAAGTGTACCCCAGGCTTCAGTCCTCTGCTGCTATTCGCATAACATTTCTATTAATAACTGTGCTTTACTTGTGGCTGAAATTTTGCTTGTTGAGCTTTGATCATTTATTTCCAATATGCAGAGGTTACAAAATGTGTTTCTTAAATGTACATTGTAACACAATTCGTAGATCGGGAAGAAGGAGGTGGGAACTGGCGAACATTCAAACATAATTTTAATAATAAAATAAACACAAAACTTAAAATAGCGCGACAGCCCCTCACGGACGACTGCCGCGCACAAACAAAACTAAAACAACATAAATCCAGGCCTGGTCCTCTCTCGTCTTGCACTGTCGTCACTCCTCCTTTTATCCTTCCGGAGCTCCTCCATGGGACTCGAGACCGGTGAGTGGCGCCGGTGTCGTGCATTAACACTTACTCCACCGGCCTCGCTCCATTCCCACGGCTCTCGGCCCCGGCCCACTCGTCACATACATGTGCATGAATTGTGTGAATTTATTGCATGGTTTTAACTTCACGCTAATAAAAGATGTATTTCTGTTGTGTATATGTAGCTTTTCGACCGTATCTGTGTGCATGATGCACATCTGCAATTTGCAGCAACCTGCAGCCTCACACAAGCTCTTTGCAAACGTATATGATACAACTGTTGTGCTCACACAGCTGGAAAATCTAAAAGATTATTAAAAATGGTTAAAAAGCAAACATTTTCACACAGACACGCAAGTACCAACCTAAGGCTACAGCTCACAAAAGGGTAGCAATACACTCTGATCATGCAAAATGTAGCACCTCCTTCAAATTAGGTCAACATATGTAATTTCCCAGCAGATTATAAGATATCTATAAAAACCTCAAAGTCCTTCTATTAGCTGAAATATCAGAGCTGACACAATTGACATATGATAGTATCTATTAAGTGGGTGAATGGAGCCACTGGTTGCACTTCTACATATGGTAATAGCCATCATGACCTTCTCTAAAGCTAACAAAACTGTTTGTACTCTGCGAGGAGAGCCTGTACATCCTGAGCTATGGAAAGATGGGGATATTATAGTTGGAGGGGTTTTCTCTTTCCATAGCAGCTGGGAAATCAGGCAACTGACATATTCAATTATGCCACCTCCACTGAAGTGCATCAGGTAAGTAAAAGCAGAGCAATAGTATGATACGATTTTGTAAATACAAGTGTTACGTTAAATGATTTAATCATAGTTTCATTTGAGTTTTTAACATTTTTTGCTTTGTTTTGTTTTTTTAACAAGTCTTAATTTTAGAGACTTCCAGTACGCACAGTCCATGCTCTTCGCAATAGAGGAAATTAATAACAGTTCCACTTTGCTGCCTGGGGTCTCATTAGGCTACAAGATCTACGACACGTGCGGATCAGTGGCGGTTGGGGTTCGAGCAGCTATGGCCCTTGCAAATGGGTATGAGAAAATGTCTGTTGAAGGGCCCTGCACAAAGCATGCTGAAGTGCAAGCCATTATTGGGGACACAACTTCTTCAGCGTGCATGGCAATATCAAAGGGTATTGGACCATTCAAGCTTCCATTGGTATGATTTTATATGTCACAATTTACAATTTATCCCAATATAGTTTTTAAATTATATGAAAATGTTAAATTGTAATCTATGTTTTAAATAAATAATAAATGCTGCTGAATGCAATTAATGTATTTTTACTGGATTTTATGTCTAAACATATTGCTTCTGTATATATTAATCTCTTAGATCAGCCACTATGCCACCTGTGAATGCCTTAGTGACAAAGTCAAATATCCCTCATTTCTTCGAACTATTGCAAGTGATCACTACCAGAGTAGAGCACTGGCAGAATTGGTTAGACACTTTGGCTGGACCTGGGTGGGAGCCTTAAGAACGGATGATGATTATGGTAACAATGGGATGGCCACTTTTACTAAGGTGGCTGAACAGATGGGTATCTGTTTGGAATATTCTCTCCCGTTTTTCAGAACCTACCCTGAAGATAAAGTAATAAGGATAATTGAGCAGATTAAAAGCTCTAATTCACGAGTGATTGTGGGATTTCTTGCTCATTGGGACTTGGAGGTTCTGCTGCATAAATTTGTTGAACACAATATTACTGGATACCAGTGGGTAGGCACCGAAGCCTGGATATCTGATTCAGTCATTGCCAGTATGGATAAGCACCACATTCTACAAGGAGCAATTGGTCTGGCTATACCCAAAACACAAGTGACAGGTCTTCAAGAATTCATTCTAGATATAAAACCACTGAAGTCTTTGGGAGGTGCTATTTTTACTGAGTTCTGGGAAGCCCTGTTTCAGTGTAAATACTCAACTAAGAATGATTTTGTGTCCACAACTCCATGTACAGGCAATGAGGAACTGTCTCAAGTGCAAAATTTATTTACAGACATGTCACTCATGCCCATCTTCAGCAATGTGTATAAAGGAGTGTATGCTGTTGCTTATACACTTCATGACCTTCTGGGATGCAAAGAAAAATGTGACTCAAATAAACAGCCTGATCCTTCAACAGTGGGTTAACACTATTTTATTTCTTCTGCTATATGAAATTCAGTATTCTCTAAGCTTTTACATATGGACACAGTATATTCAACAATTAATTATTTGCACTGTATGTATATGTCATTTTGTTGAGATGTACTGTTTGCCATGTCAATCAGTTTAGTTAACAATTGCTTTATATAGTGAATATTTTGTCTTTTTCCCCTTCAGTTTCTGAAGCACCTGAGAAAGGTGCATTTCAAAACAAAAGATGGTGAGGAGGTTTATTTTGATGAGAATGGTGATCCAGTGGCAAAATATGACATTATAAATTGGCAGCCAAGTAAAAAACAACACTATGAATTTGTTACTGTTGGGCTTTATGATGCTTATTTTCTGGGGATAGATCGTTTAGCTGTCAATATGCTATCAATTTTATGGACAAATAATTCCACAAAGGTGAGGAAAAAGAGAAAAACGTATTTTCTGAATATCAGTTTTCAGTGTCAGTAAATGGCAATGCCTATATATTTTTGTCACAGGTACCGGTGTCTGTGTGCAGTGAGAGCTGCCACCCTGGCACTAGGAAGGGTGTGAAGAAAGGAAAGCCTATATGTTGTTATGACTGCATACCATGCACAGAGGGAGAAATCAGTAACACTTCAGGTAAAATTAAATCACTATATCCATAAAGAAAGTATATATATAAACATTTTTTTTTCTCTCTCTCTCCTGTTATTAATTATTACATCCATTACATACAGATTCTGTAACATGTCTGCGGTGTCATCAAGACTTCTGGTCAAATATGCAAAACGATGGATGTGTTAAGAAGGAAACAGAATTTTTGTCTTATGAGGAGATCATGGGGATTTTGCTCACAACTATTTCAGTTGTTGGTGCATTTATAACAATAATAATTGCAGTCATATTTTTCAGATATAAAAATACCCCAATAGTTAAAGCCAACAACTCAGAATTAAGCTTCCTGCTACTGTTTTCACTGATGTTGTGTTTTCTCTGTTCACTTACTTTTATTGGTCGGCCCACTGAGTGGTCCTGTATGTTGCGTCACACAGCGTTTGGCATCACTTTTGTCCTCTGTATCTCCTGTGTTCTGGGAAAAACAATAGTGGTTTTAATGGCTTTCAGGGCTACACTTCCAGGAAGTAATGTCATGAAATGGTTTGGGCCTCCTCCACAGAGACTCAGTGTTTTTGCATTTACTCTTATACAAGTGCTTATTTGTGTGCTTTGGTTAACAATATCTCCCCCTTTTCCATTTAAAAATCTTAAATACTTCAAAGAAAAGATAATACTAGAGTGTAATGTGGGATCAGTTGTAGGTTTCTGGGCTGTGTTAGGTTATATTGGACTGCTTGCTATTCTATGTTTCTTTTTGGCTTTTCTGGCTCGGAAACTCCCGGATAATTTTAATGAAGCCAAATTTATCACATTTAGTATGCTCATATTTTGTGCTGTTTGGATCGCTTTCATACCAGCTTATGTTAGTTCGCCTGGAAAATTCACAGTGGCAGTGGAGATATTTGCCATTTTAGCCTCCACATATGGAATGTTATTTTGCATATTTATTCCTAAATGCTATATCATTTTATTGAAACCAGACAAGAACTCTAAAAAACATTTGATGGGTAAATTACCCCCAAGAGCCCTGTGAGTGTAAAATATTAAAATATAATAATATTGTAGATGAAAATAAAACATAATATACACTGTTACTTTTACCGTCCTGTACATTTACCACCCTATTTTTAGTTATGTTGATTATTATCATGATGGCACTTTTCTTATTGAACTGTGTATGTTGGACCATTACATGATAAAACTAACAACATCTCTGTTTTGCCTAATACAGTTAGCAAACATAAATGGTGAATCCTTTATTCTTTGTTTCATTCACTTATTCTATTGACTTACTACGGTGGCCGAGAGAGCTCATTGATGAAATGACAAAGTAAATATATATTTTTTTCAATCAGCACTTTATATACAATGAAACAATCAAGATGAAATTGAAGTGCAGACTTTAAGCTTTAATTCAAGGGGTTGAACAAAAATATAACATAAAATGTGTATGCATAAAAATGCAACCATTTTTATACACAGTCCCCCCATTTTCAGGGGCTCAAATGTAATTGGACAAATAAATACAATCATACATAAAATGTTCATTTTTAATATTTTGTTGAGAATCATTTGCAAGCAATGACTGTCATAAGTCTGGAACTCATGGATATCACCAGAGACTGGGTTTCCTCCTTTGTTATGCTTTGCCAGGCCTTTACCGCAGCTGACTTCAGTTGTTGTTTGTAATAAATCTGCAAAAATGTCAACGATTCTGTGTTTTTCTGTCAATATGGGGTGCTGTGTGTACATTAATGAGGAAAAAAAATTAACTTAAATGATTTTAGCAAATGGCTGCAATATAACATAGAGTGAAAAATTGAAGGGGGTCTGAATACTTTCTGTACCCACTGTATATATATATAATTTTATTTTATTTTTGTATTAAAAGAAAGTACACTGGCAAGATTCTTAATTCCATCTACAACATGTTTGATGGTGTCAATGGCATATCGCCCTGCAGCCCAAAACTATTTGCCCACTGAAGCTAAGCAGGGTTGAGCCTGGACAGTACTTGGATGGGAGACCTTCTGGGGAAACTAGGTTGCTGCTGGAAGAGGTGTTAGTGAGGCCAGCAGGTCTCCCATCCAAGTA